GCAAAATGAGGGGGGAGTATTCTGGGGGATTCATGGTGATGTGGCTTTTACTATCATGTTTTAAAATTTTTAAATAGTCACCATATTCTTTGATCATGCCGTGTACATATATAAAGAAAACAGTGTGAAGTTAGAGATTCTGAAGGCCTAGACCTGGCTCTGTTCTCTCTCTTTTCTTTTTTTTCTGACTCTGTTCTCTTGATTGGATTACCTACTAATCCCTGTAACCTCTGCGAGCCTCAGTTTCCCCCGTTTGTAAAACGGGCATAGAGTTGTCAGCAGGATTCAGCATTATGAGGACTCAGTAATTGACACACACAAGGCCTTTTTTCAAAAAGGGAAGCAGAGGGATTAAAGCTGATAAGTCCAGGCTGGGCCTGGTAGTGCACAACTATCATCCCAGCACTCTGGGAGGCTGAGGCAGGAGGATCTCAAGTTCAACCCCAGCCTGGGCAACCTAGTGACTTAGCGAGACCCTGTCTCGAAATGAAAAATAAAAATAAAAAATTTACAAAGAGTTTGGGAGGTAGCCCAGTGTAAAGGCCCTGGGCTTAATCCCCAGTGCCACAAGGAACAAGAAACAGGAGCCACTGGGCAAGTCTTTCCCAAACTGTCTAAACCATGACCAATTCACAGCCCTGCTCAGCTGGGAAGGGAGGGATGAGGTGTGTCCGGGCCACCACCAAGAACATCCGGCCTCCTCTGTCTCCCAGACCCTTGGCCTTGTGGGTGTGAGATGTGCCCAGACCCCAAAGCCCCAACCCTGGCATTGTCACTCAACCTTGTACTTACTGACTTTTGACCTAGTGCCCAGCAAGTACTAAAGGCCTTATCTCCTGTGGTTGATCATGCAGTGGGATGACTAGAAGCCTCCCAAATGCATATCCACCCAAAACCTCAGAATGTGTTCTTGGTACTTGGGAGGCTGAGGCAGGAGGATCACAAGTTCAAGGCCATCCTGGGCCATTCAGCAAGACTCTGTCTCAAAATAAAATAAAAAAGTACTGGGCACATAGATGAGTGATCAGCACTTGCTTAGCATGGTTGAAGCCATGGATTTCATGGCCAGCGCCCACCCCCGCCAAAAAAAAAAACCCCAAATCACGTCTTTTTAGAATT